TAGGATGGGGCAGAGAAATTCTAACAGCCTTGTAAAAATTAAACAAAGGGGTGTAAAAGGGGGGACAGACAATGCGTGGTTTCTGTGTTTTGTTTTGATTTTAAGCATTCTGTCCAAATCTGTAGATGTAGTTTGAAACTGCCTAATAGCTTATTGCATAAATGTTTTATGGACTGTTGTATACCATGGCAATTGTTACCTCTAAGGATTCGTGGGAGTTTTAATGCAAAGCTTCACTATATCTGTTGTGCCAGGGAGTAATACATTTCAAGGTCTCAAGTTGCCATGATTAGTTTAATGTGCAGAGTACAGGAATGCAATTTAAAAAAAAAAAAAAAATGTATTTTGGAGAAAGGTTTGAGGCACATTTTATTAAAGACTACGGTGAAAAATGACACTAGGTGTATGAAGGTTAAAGTATGTTAAATGGATAATTTTAATGTGCAAGAGTTTGCTCAAAAGATCTCTGCATTCTATTTAAAAGTATAAGTCCTCATTATGACTATTAGTGTGTTATGTGTCCTTGTCCATTGCCTATGACTTTAAATAGTAATGCATAAGATTTGCATGTCATTAACGCAAGCTTTAGTGTTTTAAAACAGGTCAAATGCTGTACAGCCAACATGAAAGATACCATTGCATGCTATCACTCTTGGAGATTTTGGATGATAAAAGACTTTGCAGGACAAGCACTTATTACATCTTCCGTTAAAGGGGCCCCACATAAAGATACATCTAATCAAATCGTGGATTCACGTTTCCAAATTGTAAAGTGACTAATACTGAATGTGAATCTTCCATTGGAAACAGAATGCATGGACAAACGATAGCTCCCCTTTCAAAGAATTACTATTAGTGAATTATTCAACTCCAACTCAGAGGTTTGTTTACTTTAAAATTCCCCACAAAAAAACAAAACAAATAATTCCATGTTTTGTTAGTGTTAAAGGACCACTATAGTGCCAGGAAAACATACTCGTTTTCCTGGCACTATAGTGCCCTGAGGGTGCCCCCACCCTCAGGGACCCCCTCCCGCCCGGCTCTGGGGAGAGGAAAGGGTTAAAAACTTACCTTTTTCCAGCGCTGGGCGGGGAGCTCTCTGCCTCCTCTCCTCCTCCGATCCTCCTCCTGGGCTGAATGCGCACGCGCGGCAAGAGCTGCGCGCGCATTCAGCCCGTCGCATAGGAAAGCATTTACAATGCTTTCCTATGGACGCTTGCGTGCTCTCACTGTGAAAATCACAGTGAGAAGCACGCAAGCGCCTCTAGTGGCTGTCAATGAGACAGCCACTAGAGGGAATAGGGGAAGGCTTAACCCATTAATAAACATAGCAGTTTCTCTGAAACTGCTATGTTTATTAAAAAATGGGTTAACCCTAGCTGGACCAGGCACCCAGACCACTTCATTAAGCTGAAGTGGTCTGGGTGCCTAGAGTGGTCCTTTAAGTGATATGTTATCCATGTTTATTGGTGTATTGGCATTTTTCTATATTCTTATCCTGTCATGGTCCTGGCACCATTAAAAAAAAAGAGGGTAGTATGGTTTATATGAAGTAAGGTTCATTTAGTATACCTCATTAATTATAGCAATGGTGAAATGATATTTTAATAATGATCAGTGAATTTATGCTGAAAATAGTACGTTTATAAGTGAGGCAACTGTAATCCTTTGAACTAATGTGTTATATTTATATTGGTAAATTTAAAGCATTTTTCAGCAAACTGACCCAGACGAAGACATAGATAATATACTCATTTAACAAAAGGGTGTTACTTAGGTAATTTGCCTTATGGGGAATTCTTCCTGCTATTCTACTTTTTGTCGTTATTTTTGCCTTTGTACAATTAATGAAATTATTATCTTTCCATTAATGAGATCCTACAAATAATGATATGGAGGATTGACTAGGCAACATTAAAATAAACCAAAGGGGTACATGCCTCTATGAGCAGATGGCCCTTAGAATACAGGGGGCACCCGCACAATACAGTAAACGTTGGGCCAGTTGGCTGCAATTCCGAGACAATGACAGGATGGACGCTGACACTGCCCCAAATGAGTAGCTCTCCTGTGATCCTGAGGGGTAGGAGGTGCGGGAGAAAAGGCCTAGAGGTCGACTAGAGGCACAAAACATACATACCTGATGACCGAACTGAGCAAATTTACCCAGGTTATAGAGTTAAGGTTGAATGTTACAAATGTCCTCACTCCCCTTTCTTTTTCCTGGCACGACTTTTTCTTTATGGCACGACTGCTACATGTGCAATTCCTAAGCATCAGTGGCATTGGCAACAGTGCGTTTAACGCAGGATGACGGGGAAAAACCCCTGACTAGACAAGGCGCAATGTATCTGAATGACAACAAGCCACTGTGAACACATGTATTTACTGATTCAATAATTGGCTGACTCCCAGCTTTATCTACAATGTACATTATGCAAAGGTAATTGTTAATCTTGTACACCATCCATGTAATGCTGTGCTAGCATGTGTCATGTATACATGTGTACCACCCTAAAAAAAAAGAAAAAAAAAAAAAAGGAAATAAGATATTAAAAAAAAAAAAGCATGATTTTTCTGAAACTTCATAATGACTGGTATGCATTAAAGGGACACTCCAGGCACCCATACCACTTCTGCCCATTGGAGTGGTCTGGGTGCCAACTCCCACTACTCTTAACCCTGCAAGTGTAATTATTGCAGTTTTTTATAAACTGCAATAATTACCTTGAAGGGTTAATGCCACCTCTAGTGGCTATCTACTAGACAGCCACTAGAGGGCACTTCCGTGTCCCTAGCACATAGCTTTCCTATGGGGAATGCACATTAGGTCTCCCCGGCCGGTGGGCGGGATCAGTCTCGCCCACCGGCCGACGCAATCACTGGGAGAAGCGGCGGCA